AAATTACAAGACCTCTTATTAATCGTTAAAATAAAGAGCCTATATATAGGCAATACAAAACAGACTCGATAGACTCAAATCTAAATAATACAATATATGAATAAAATCAAATTTAGATATAAATCTACTAAATCTAAAATTGAATATCTAAAATATCTCAACATCCTCCCTGGAGTCGAAAACCATATGACCACCGGGGCCGAAAACAGACAAATCACAAACATCAACGAAAGATAACAGATCAAGCACATGCAACAGACGGACAACGACAAATGACAGATCGCACGCAGCACCAGACAAACAACTATTTATATATACATAAGGCTATCATTATTAAAATTCACATACAAAAACAAAAGAAATATATACATATATATACATCACTTGTTTTTAAACATATATATATATGTGATTGCATAATAATTTTTTAAATTAGTAAATTTTATACATTTACTTTGGATATTATTATGCATTTATTTTAAATTTATTTTATTAATTTTCCATACAAACATATTAAAAATTTATTAATAAAAAATAATCAAGACTCTATGTAACAACCATCTTTCTATCATATTTTCTCTTGTTTTACATCAAATTAATTTCTTTCACTAAATATCTTACAATAAATTAAAAAATAAAAAATATATATAATCCAACAATACTCTACAAAACAAATTTCTCATTATATTGCTTAAAAAACAAAAAAAAAAAAAAAAAAAAAAAAACGAAATTTCCACTACACCCATAACAATAATTTTAACACTTCTTCTGATTTAAACTGCTGCTACTGCAGGATCATCTGCAAGTTCGAACAAAAATATCATTATCATCCACTGATTCTCGGCAAAACACACACAACAAATAGAATCAGCATCAGTCCACCACTGCAGACGCCCACATTAGACACGACTATTCGAGCACAAACTTTACCGGAAAGAACTTCGATAGTTACACCAAATTTAAAAATGGGCAGCATGACGAATATGTCATTGCAATAAAAGACACACTATTGATGAAAATGTTGAAATAGATCAACTATTGTGTACACACACATATATATATATATATATATATAGCCATATTTGGAAGACAAAGTAGGGAAAAAAAAGACTCTTCGATTCCTCTCTATTATCATAATTAAGAATAATAAATACAAAAACTCCTCATTTTCACGCTATGATTATTATTGTTAATCATTAATTATTTTACCTTTATTTCATTTTATTATAATTTATATTTTTAAATGTCATTTAATTGAATGTGTAAAATTTTGATTTATAAATAATTATGTATTGTTAATATTTTATTATAATTTAATTATTTTTAAAATATAAATATAAATGTCATTAACATGATTAATATATTATATTAATATTTCAATTTTAATGAATAAAATTATATAATTAATGTTAACGTTAGATTGGATATGTATTTAATACTATTAATTTAATTTTAATTTTACAATTGATTTTTAGTATAATATAAAAAAAATTAAAAATAGGTGTTTAATATGATATTTTTTAGGAAAAAAAATAGGATGAATAATATATTTAAAATTCAATCCCTCAAACTAAAAAAATTAAATATATATATATATAGATACAATTCACATCTCATTTTAACAAATGATTGAAAGTATATATCATAATTATTATGTATAATTCATATTTTAAAATAACAAATCAAATCACATATCCTATTAAAATAAAATAATATTACTAAAAATTCAAATTTTTTTTAAAAGTAAATCCCACACCATTTTGAATAATCATGCATAAATGTTTTTAATATAAAATATAATTTATATTAATAACAATTTATTATTCATTATGTCTAATTTTGAATTATATATAATATTAGATAAATACGAATACCAACAAATAAATAAAAGAAAATAAATATTAATAATTTTTTTATAATTTAAACTATTGTTACTAATTTCTCTTGTATATTAAAAAATAATTACACAATGAAAAGTAAAATGACAAATTTTAGTATATATAAATTTTATATAAGATAAGTATAAAATAATTAAAATTAGAATATCAAAAAATACAAAATAAATATATTCAAAGATTTTAGTTTAATACATAATTATTTTTATATATTTTAATTATACATAATGTTTATTCAAGATAAATATAAAATATTATATAAATAATAGTAATATACATAAAACAAAAAATATTTTTGCACATAAATAAAAAATATTTTTATTCATGATCTTTTATAACTAATAATTTTTATTTTTTTTAAACAAAATTAAAACTATTGAAAATTCTTATTTGGGGCCATTAATATTAATTAAAACAATAATTATGTATCATGAGAAATATTAATGTCTTAAAATATATAAATGATCAATTAATAACAAAAATAAAATTGTTAAAAATTAAAAATTTTGCAAAATCTACAAATATTTAAGTATATAAAATGATTCTATCAAATAATCAATAAAAATAAATAATTATTAAAAAAATAAATTTAATATTTAAATTACACCATATTTAATATATATATATATACCACTACAAAAAAATGTCAATTTTATAACAAAATTTTTTTGTCTCTAAATATTTTTTTTCCGTTACTAAAGACATTAGAGACGGAATTAGAGAGGAAATTGCGTTAGCTACACACACTTTAGGAACGGAATTCCGTTACTAATATACATATAAAAATTTATTAGAAATTAATATTATACGCTTATTATTAAAGAAATGTATATAAATTATATACACATATTATATGACATAAAATAAAAAAATATATTGACCCATATTCATGTAATAGTTATCACTACAAAAAAATAATGTATTTGTAACGGAATTCCGTCCTTAAAGTTTAAATAGCTAACGTAATTTCATTCATAATTCCGTCTCTAATGTCATTAGTAACGGAAAAAGTAGATTTAGAGACAAATATTTTGTTACAAAAATAATTTTTTCTTGTAGTGCAATCAAATTCAATAACCAATGAAAATTTGTTTTTTAAAAAAAATTTAAAATAGTTGAAAATTTATAACCAATCAAATCTTTCACCAAATCAAATCTTTTAAAAAAAAATTCAAAACCCCTATAAATTCTTGTTTTACATTATGGTGGGGGCCACAATGAGCTCAAATATATGTATATATATATATGATATATGATATGATATGATACTCTCTTCGTCCCGAAACTAAGTATCCATTTGCTTTTTGCACGTAGTTTTAGAAATATTAGTATTATATTGGGATATAGTAGAAATGACTAAAATAACCTTATTAGTATGCGTGATATAAAAGTAATGGGCATTTGTATAATATATTGTAAGTTATAAGGGTATTTGTAATGTTAGGTAGAAAGTACTGTTACTAAAAAAGGAAATGGATACTTTGTTATGGAACAGACTAAAATGGAAAAATAGATACTTTATTATGAGACGGAGGGAGTATGATATATGATATGATATCATAATATTATTACAATTTATATAATATATTTTGAAATTAAAAAATATATTATATAATAAATATTATTTATATATTTTATTAAACAATAAAAATAAATAATTAATAAATTAATATGATACTATAAAATTATAAAAATAATGAATTTAAGATAATAAAATTAATACATGTGTTAAAAGAAACACTTTTAAATATTGATGTAAATATAAAATGAATGCGATCGATGAAAAAAAAATAAAAAATTGTTTAATGTACATTCGAAAATTATCCATTATAGATTATGATATTATTGACAAAGAAAACTATGGTAATTATAATAAAAAAATTAAATTTACAAATAAGACAATTTGGATGTAATGAAATTAGATTGCACCTACTAATTTATGTTACTAAAAATACATTTTTTTCCTATAAAATTACACTAATGTCTTAAATTATTCGAGCTTATCATGAGTCTATCCGATATTCTTTTACAAAGACTTTTGAATGATTTTTTCATATTTTCACTATTTATTAACTTTTTTAAGGAAAATATTAAATTAAATATTTATTTTTATATTATACTCCTTCCGTCCCGTAACAAAATATTCATTTTTTTATTTTAATACATCATATAACAAAGTATCAATTTCATTTTTTAGAAAATGTACTATTTACCTAACATTACAAATACCCTTACAACTTAGAATATACTCCATCCGTCCTACTTACTATGTCCATGTTGCCATTTCTGTCCGTCCCACATCTCATGTCACTTTTCTTTTTTAAAAATGATTATCCATCTTAATCTTATTTTAAATTTCCTAATTTGATTTTTTTTTAATTTTAATTTAACTAATGAGTTATTTTAATCTTAGTCTACAATAATTTATATTATAAGTTTATTATTTTCACTAATATATTCTTAATAATTTACTAATTATACTTATTTTAAATTATCGTAGACTCATTACTTTTATATCACACATACTAGTAAGGTTATTTTAGTCATTTCTACTTTAATTATACTATATCCCAATATAATACTAATATTTCTAAAATTATGTGTAAAAAGCAAATAAATATATTACACAAATATTATTAACTTTATATCACACATATTATTTTAGTCATTTCTATTTTATTCATAATACATCTTAATATAATACTAATATTTTTAAAATTATGTGCAAAAAGCAAATAAATATATGGTACAGAGGGAGTATCAAATATATTTTTTTTCTCACAAAATATTAAATCAAATAATAACTTTCAACACTCTAATTTTTATTTATTTTTTCAAATTTTTAAATTAAAATCTCAAAAAAACTCATGTTTAAACGATATTATTTAAAAATCAAACCAAAATCAAATATCCAAACAAACACACTCTTTAACCAATTTCAAAAATGTTTTGGGTTTGATGTTAAAGCCGGCCATAAGATAATAGAAACTTCCCATTTTCTCCAATGACCAATCTGAGAAGCAAACGCAGCCACGGAATTTGAATCGACAGAAACAAGAAAACGGAGTATATAAAGTGAATGAAAAGGGGAAAATTTTTTAGTAGTATAATTGCTGTAAAAATTTGATCGAATTCAGGGCGGGACTAGCATCCATGGTGAATGACAGAAATTAGGGCAGAAAACGAAATCCTTGCTTACCCATTTTCGTAATTTAGGGTTTTGACAATGAGAACAATCCATGGAAACGACAAGAAAGGAAGGCCCCGATCAACCACTTGTATGGATAGATGATGGTGCCCAGCTCAGGTAATCGAGTAGGTCCACCTGCCCACCCTGCAATGGATCCATGAATTCATTATATAATTCCAATATATATATATATTATATATGCAGATGTGTACAGCGATGAATCTGAAGGACAGCTGAGCAGTTGACTGCCAATTCTGTTTTCTCTCGTGATTTTATGGTAACAGAGAGCGAATTCGATACGAGTATTTGCATCGTCGCACAATCATTCATATTCATTTTGTCCTCCGATCGATTGTGGAAATTCCGAATTCGTTCCCCGTAGATTGCAGTTAAATCGCTTCTTTTGTTTTGTTTTTTTTATTTTTTGGGTAAAATTAATTTGGCGGGAACTCGATTTTGTCGCATCGCGGATTTGTGTGGGAATTGGAAATTCAGGATTTGAGTGTTTGAATTTTGCTTTTGGCTCAATATGTAGAAGATATTCGGTCTGTGTGTGTGTATGTGTGGATAGAGAGAGATGGGAATTTCGGATAATACCAGAGGGTTAATACTGGCAATGGTGTCGAGCTTGTTCATCGGTTCGAGCTTCATTTTGAAGAAGAAAGGCCTCCGCCGCGCCGGCGCAGCTGGTACTCGCGCAGGTACGTCTGGATTCGGATTCGATGCATTCGTCTAGGTTTTCCGCATCTGAACTGATTGATTCTTCGTTTGTTCCAATGGAGATTTCTTCGATTCTTTGATTCGATTGATTTTGATAATTTCCTGAATGCATACATACTGCCTGTGTTCTTCATAGCCAATTTGGGAGAAACTGAGAAAGTTTGTTGCTACTAGTTAATGGTGGATTTTGCAGAAACTTGATTCAATTCTGCAATTTAGCTTGATTTGTTTTCATTTTCGATTTGAATTTGTGCTTGAATTTCATGACCAATAGTAGAATTTCTGCAAATCGATTTTGCTTCACAGGTTATCAATATTGTTGATTCTTGCACCTATATTTCAGTTCATTTGCTTCCGAATTATGGTCTAATCGGATAGAATCGAATATATTCTGTGCATTGAGAGTAGCTACAATTGTTATCTGTTGCCTTGCTCTCCTAAGTCCCTCATTGTAGTAATCAAATCTGTACGGTAGTTGATTGCTATACCTTCTTACTTTTCGAGATTTCATATTCGCCAGTTTGCATCGGTATAATTACTGTTTGCGTGATAAATTGCAGGTGTTGGTGGGTATACTTATTTGCTCGAACCCCTATGGTGGGCAGGCATGATATCCAGTAAGTTATCGAGTTATGCTCGATCCCCTCACTCCTGTGTAGTTGCTAATTTCTCATTTTTGCAGTGATTGTAGGCGAGATTGCAAATTTTGTAGCTTATATTTACGCTCCGGCCGTTCTTGTCACTCCACTCGGTGCACTGAGTATCATAGTTAGGTATGTTTTTATCCTTTCGATATTCTGCTGTTTTGTGTTGAACATTTAAACTTGGTGAGGTTTTCTTGATAATATTTTCCGAACATTTTTGGCATAAGTTCTGTTCTGGCACACTTCATGTTGAAGGAGCAGTTGCGACAGATGGGCGTACTGGGATGCATTTCTTGCATCGTAGGATCTATAGTAATCGTAATCCATGCTCCGGAAGAACATACTCCGAGTTCTGTACTAGAAGTTTGGGAATTGGCAACGCAGCCAGGTTAGCCGGTTTTTTCAGCTCTTTATCGCCCCGATTTTATAATTGTGTCGAGTATCTTTGCTCATTGCTTGTTTCTACAGCTTTTTTAATTTATGTGGCGGCTACATTATCTGTGGTGATCGTGCTGATGCTGCATTTCGAGCCTCTCTACGGCCAGACTAACATACTAGTTTACCTCGGAATTTGTTCTTTAATGGGCGCCCTGACGGTAATTCCCTGCATTTGTGTTTAATTTTGGAGGCTCTCTTGCAATTCCATATACGATAAACTTATGTACGTTGTTCGATCACGAAGGTTGTGAGCATAAAGGCGATCGGGATAGCAATAAAACTCACTTTGGAGGGGATAAACCAATTCGAATATGCTCAGACATGGTTTTTCTTTTCGGTTGTTGTAATCTGCGTCGTCACTCAGTTGAATTACTTGAACAAGGTAACAACAATCCTGGTCGCCTCTTTATATTTCCGATTGTATGTATAAACACTCGCCTTTTTTCTCTAGAATTTGTATCTTTACGGCCCTTTTTTTCAGGCACTTGACACTTTCGACGCCGCAATTGTGTCTCCTATATATTATGTGATGTTCACAACTCTGACTATCGTTGCCAGCGCTATAATGTTCAAGGTAATAAAATAGTTTGCACTCTTGAACCTGTTCATTTTATTGCCACTTGAAGTCGGGTATCATTAGGTTCTTATTGAGTAATAAATCCTTCCATTGCAGGACTGGTCCGGCCAGAACATCAGTACTATAACCTCTGAATTATGTGGATTCATTACGGTTCTCTCAGGAACCGTGATTCTTCATGCAACGAGAGATGAAGAACCTGCAGTTGGATCAGGTACCAGCATTACAATAAAAGCAATATATTGTTGATCTCTACACCAAGTTCACGATGCTTCATTCCCGCATACTTAAACAGAACCGAATATGTCGATTACATTGCTAGAGTGACTGACTATTCATTCCTTTGATATTTATTCCAGGCTTTCTTGTCATTCTTTGTTTACATGATTAGTAGCTTGATGATAGATTATTAATAGAGCATTTTGTGCAGGAACCATAACATGGTACGACAGCGATCAAACAAAAGGGTTGGATGATGCACATTATATCACATTGAACAATTCGGATTTCTTCGATTGATTCATTCATTCATTCATTCATTGAGCGATTGTGTGTTTTCGGAAACATCTTTGTCATCGTCGTCGTCGTCTTGATGATTCATTGGCACTGGCATTGGCAGATCTGGTAGATAGATGATGATGATGATGATGATTGATAGATATATAGATATTAGATTCTCTTGTCCTTTTTACATGTCTTTTTTTTTTTTTTTTTTGATAATGTGGGAACCCGCAGTAGCTACTTGAAAGTGCATATTTTGTAAACCTCTGGTCGAATTTAATACCCTACAAATCAAGCCCGACGAAAAAGTCACATTAAGCGAAGTATGTGTGGCAGGTGAGCTGAACTGCTGAAGGTCGAACCCATGTCCTTTTTACATGTTTTAATTGTATAATAGCTTCGGTTCAATTGGCTGTTTTGGTTGACAGAGACAGCCTATACAAATTGTTGGCCTTCTCCAATTTTGAAAAATATTTAAAATAGTAAAAAAATAATAATACTACATTTGATATGATATTAGTAAGAAAAAATAGCTAGGATATTTTTAAAATAATATTATTTTTATTGATTATCAAATCTATTAAAAATATATTCTTGTTTTTGATGTTATAATAAAAAGATAATAATATTTTAAGATATAAAAATAGGCAAATAAAAAATAAAATAAGATATTATAAAAGAATTATTAAAAAAATTAATAGAGCAAGTAAAAATGTAATGGCGGGTTTGTTGTTACTTACTAGCCTATTACATTATTATAAAAATTGTAATATTAATTTAATTTTATATTTTAAATACTAAATTTTATTTTAATAATAAAACTTTCTAGGAAGATAATAAAAATTAATTTATATAAAAGTAAATTAAAAATTAAAAATATGGTGACTAAAACAAATAAAGAATATTAAGTAAACAAATCAAAATTTCATAAATATATACTCCAATTTAAACTCAAACATAATAGAAATAAAAAATAATTATTCATAATCACTTTTAAATTAAAATTAAAATAAATTTGAAAAAAATTTGTTTATCATTTATATATGATTGTTAGCTTTCAGTTAAAAACAATGTTCAAATAACATGTTAAATAATATATATATATATATAGTAACGAAAAGAGAAGCAAACAAATAATATTAAGTAAATTATAAATCAAATAAAATTTATATATCATTTTAAATTCAAATCTAAGTTAGATTTAAAATATTTATTTACAATCTTATTAAATGAAACATTACAATAAATTTTGAAAAAAAATTCATATCTATCGATAAAAATAAATAAATAAATAAATAAATACACTAACAAAAATAAAAATAAATATTATAGAGTATTAAGTAATAAAAATTATAAATTACAAAATTCATACTTAAAAGTGAAGGGAAATATAAGTTGGACTAAAACTATTTATTAACGACTCATATTAGATAAAAACAAAAGACTCGAAATTTGAATATAATTTCAATTTTCAAAAAAAAAATGTATTAAAATAGTAATATTTTAAACCAAATTAATTAAAAAATATATATATAATAAGAATAAATAAGAATTGATTAATAAAAAATAAAAATAACAAAAAACAAATTAAAGAATACATACAAAATAAAAATGAAAGTACTGAAATTAAAATAATAATTTTTATAAATTACTAAAATTTATCTTAATGTTTCTATAAACTCTAATTTTCTCGAAATCATATCATATATTTATATATATATATAGCATAAAACACTTCAACCGGTGAACTTTCGTAATTTTTAAATTTTTTTAATTTTTAAATAATTTTACTTTTTTTTTTGGATAAATTTGAAATTTTATTTTATTTTTAAACTAATTTTACTTTTTATTTTGAATTATTTGTAAATTATTTTTCTAAAATTAACAAAATAACTAGACATATGGATATAATTAAAGATTTCACATATGTTCTAGGGAATAATAACAAACTAATTAAATAATATTTCATAAATCTTTTTAAATCATGCTTAAACCATCTCCAACACGACTCTAAAAATGACGCTGCAGTCGTATAATTGGAGTTTGGCACAGTGCAACACCATTTGGTATATTAATTACGACGTTGTGTTCTTTTTTAAAATAAAATAAAATTTGTATATGAATTTTTTTATTAATTTTTATTTTTATAAAAAATAATATTAATGGTAGATATAAAAAGTGATTTTTTTTTTAAGAAAACAATAATGTGAAATATTCTTTTTTAGTAAAAAATTGAGTTATAAATTAGAATAAAAATATTATAATAACTGCATTTTTTAAATTAAAACTGCATAAATATATATTTAAAAAAAATTAATATTCAATATATAATATTAGTTTTGTTCACCCAACATAATTTTTCAATTGCAATTTTTAAAAAATAATAATAAAAAATATAATATTTTATACAAAAGTTAAAAAATTATTATAAAAAATTAAAAAATAAAATAATATATTTGATATTTAGCACAATTTCCCATAATAAACACCAAAAAAGTAAGGAAGCAATTATTTTTACATACTAACACAAATTTTCATGATTTACATTAAAAAATATATCAAACTAAAATACTAAACAATACCCATTGAATTTATTTGTTTAGTATTTTAGTTTATGATATATTTTTTTTAAAGTATATGAAATTGTGTAGATAATATAAAAAATAATATTTTATCTTGAATGTTAAGTTTTTGTAAGATGATAGAATATGTATATTATTATTTGTCATAAAAACTTATGCCTAATAAGAGAGTGTTTGACAAAGAGCTTTTAGAAAAGTTTTTAGCTTATTGAATAACTTTTAACTGTTTGACCAATCAAACAACTAATTTAGATGTTTGGTAAATTAGCTTTTTAGATCCAAAAAATTAATTTTTGAAAAACTAACTTACCCAACTTTTTGAAATAATTTTTCTGGTATAAATATTTTTCTTCCTTATTTATCATGCATTTTACACCAATAAATCTATTTTAATTATTTATTAATTATATTAGAATATTTTATTATATTATAATTTTACTTTTATAAATTTAAAATAAATAATTTTTATATAAAAATTATTTTAATTAAAAAATATATAAATTTAATAAAATCAACACAAAATAAAAAATATAAATATTAATAATTTATTTTTATATTAAAATTTATATTATATGAATTTTATAAATTAAATTTATTAAAAATTATAAATATAATGAACTAATCGATAATTAATATAATAAATATATATACAAAAAATTTATTATTTTATATTTTACATCACTTTTAATAGAAAAAATTATTTATATTTTTCGATAAAATATACTCTCTCCGTCCACTTACAATGTTTACATATTTCTATTTTGGGACGTCAAATTACAAAGTTAACATTTCATTAAGTATCAAATACCCTTACTTTACATCACATCATTACTTTTACACAAAAAAAGTAAAGACAAAAATGTCATTATACCACTTTTAACTACTCACTATACTTAAAATACTATTATTTCTTAAATACCGCGCCAAAAATAGACGTCAACATTGTAAGCGGATGGAGGGAGTATTATATTTTAAATCTAACTATAATAAAAATAAATTACTATTTTATAGCACTTTTACAAATTTCAATAACTAATAACAAAAAAATTTCAAACATTCTAAACTCAAAAGAACAGAATTGAATATGTTAGAAAAAATTAAATAGAAATGTCCTCAATTGTCATATTTTACGTATAAACAGCTAATAAGAAACCGTTGTTGCTATCAGCTAATTGCCAAACATGCCACTATTCTTCGTAACTGACATAAAAAAATATATCAAACTAAAATAGTAAACAATACCTATTGGGTTTATTTGTTTAGTATTTTGGTTGTAGTATTATTTTAAAGTATATGAAATTGTGTAAGTAATAATAAATTTTTTTTATCTTAAATATTAGTAGTAATATTTGTAAAATGATAGAATATGTATATGATTTTTCATCATCGAAACTTATATCTATGTGATCGGACAAAAGTATTTAATAATATTAATATTTACCTTTTATATTAAAAAATAAAGAAAATGCTAATACTTTTTACTTAAAAGAAAATAAATATATTGATTGATGGAGTATACATTAAAATTTACGTCGATTAAAAAAATAGTTGGACAAATACATCCTTTTTTGTGTTTGATTTTGACTTTGTAATTTTATGTAATATGAGTGAGTTTCTTTTGATAGGTTTTCGAAAAAATTTTGATTAAATTTGATATTAAAATAATCGTATAATGAGATATTTTGATAAATAAAATAATATATCCTTTTAATTTTAAAATAATAAAGATATTTGGAATTGACATGAAAATTAAGGAATAATAGTATTACATTGATAGTGTATGTAAAAGTATTTTTAAAAAACTAAAATATCCCTATTTTATGTAATTATTGTGGGGATAATTTTATAAAAAGATGGAGAACTTGTTACCGAAAATAGAAATGAGACTATTATTTTAAAAAGGACGAAAACGAAAAAATTAGACTATTGTTTTAGAATTTTTTTTTCGAAAAACGCAAAGTTTAAATAATAGAAATTTTGAGTTTGGATGTCGTAGACAACAAATTGTGTTATTTTTAATAAATACAAAATTGTACAAATTATATTTGATTTGAATTTAAAGCGGGTTCTATTATCTAAATGGGTCCTTTGATTCTCCTTCCGGGTCAATTTATTTTCCAACTTAGTTTCGAAGAGATTCAGTTTGATTTTGCCGAACTTTGGAGAGCTTTGGTCTCCATGCAGGTGATTTGATCGTCGGCTTTGGATTTGATATCCTCTCTGGACGATCCGAGGCTTTGATCTTTGATTTGGCTTTGCCGCCTTTTGGAAGACTTTGGTCTCCGTGTTGGCGATTTGATCATCGTCTTTGGATTTGTTGTCTTCTTTGGACAATCCGCGACTTTGACATTTGTGTTGGCTTTACCGCTTTTGGAGGACTTTGGTCTCCGCGTTGGCGATTTGATCATTGTCTTTGGATTTGTTGTCTTCTTTAGACGATCCGCAACTTTGACCTTTGCTTTGGCTTTGCCGCTTTTGGAGGACTTTGGTCTCCACGTTGGCGATTTGATCATCGTCTTTGGATTTTTTGTCTTCTTTAGACGATCCGCGACTTTGACCTTTGCTTTGGCTTTGCCGTTTTTGGAGGAC